ACGAGCAGAATCCATCTTCGCTGCAGACATCAGGCCAGAGAGAACAGTCATCGAGACGTCAGCGATCGGAGCTGCACAGGAAAAATTTTGAAAGTTGATCTATGTGAGCTCGCCACCAATATAAAGAATTTTCATTACTGTTATGTTCGAAAATAGGCTAGAAGATTTAGTCAGGTCTCTTCTCAGGCACATGTCAGGCGCCATGTGAGCGATAGCGTGGTCGAATGTAAACACCCGATCGTAAGCCACGTCGGAGGTGTTTAGCCGGAGACGTGGATGTAGGTATGTCAGCAGCACGTCGCCGGAGGAGCGGCTGGAGAGAGACTGCCTCTAGTCGTCATTCAGTTGTTATCATTAGCAGGGACTCGGTAATTTCACTTGTCCTGGGGTGAATCCAGGTAGTAGGCTCCCATAGAAGAAACAGCCTTACAAGTTGTTGGGAAGTCTAATAGCTCGATAGAGCATTGTCTAACTCAAAAAACCATTTCGAGATCATTGACCCGACGGTCAATCCTTAAGTCGAATCACGCGAGCCGTTAGCTAGTCTCGCTCGCCCGAGCTGCACCGGCAACTTAGAGAACGGGAAAATAAATGATTCATTCTGAGTCCATCTCGCGACGGATCGACGTGTCTTGAGTCTTGGTTAGAGTGGAAACATAACACAAGTGTGTTTACGATTCCCATGAGATGGTGTTACGAGTTCAAATATGCCATCTACAATAATAAAGAACAACCAGTTGGGTATTAGCCTTAATCAGGCACCTGTCGCCTCGTGCTCTCTCAGTAAAGTAGCTAACAATTGGCGACGAAGATGGTGAAACTGTGAATGAAGACCATCGGCGGGTGACGGAAGATCAGACGTACGTCCAGAAGCGAAGAAGAGAATCGAATCGAGGAGGAAAAGGAACCCAAACTCTACATGCTGGGAGCCTCAAATCACGTGGGGACATCCGCGCACACGAATCCAGGGTATTTCCCGGAGTTATCATCAGGATCGGAAACCTGGACACTATGAGAAGCTCGTCTACAAAACCATCTGGAATATCATCAGGCATCGGACCCCGAACGGAAGAAATGCGCGCTACTGGCGTACATGGGTGCCGATGCATTCAGGAAACTCCACGTCAGAGTTTTTCCTGATCGTGAAGTCAAGAGCATCCCATACGATGAAATCACGAAAATTCTCAAGGCGGTCTACCAACCCGAGCTAAACGTATGGTCTTCGAGAAGCAAATTCAGAGACATACGGCAGAACTCCGCTGAGTCATTGTGGGGGTTCGAAGGCCAGTTACGAAAGGCTAGCATTGGGTGTCATTGGGATCAAAGGAGCTTGCAAGATAATCTGATTGAACAATTCATCCGTGGAATCTCGGATGATCGAGCTAAGCAGCTCCTCCTAATGAAAGCAGAGAAACTATCGAAGCTATCGAAAGTTTTCGAGCTGGCCGAGAACCACGCCAGTGTACAGAAACCAAACGAAGACATCCGCAACCAGTCCCGAATTCGCTTCCGTCCGTCATAAAGAGACGATCCAATGTGCTCTCCTTGGCAGACTACTGCGAAATGATGCGTAAAGCAAACTTCGAACAAAGAGCTCTACTGAATAAGCACTGTCTGCACGATCCGAATCTACCACCGGTACAGATTTTCTTGACTGGAGCCACCGACTGCGGTAAAACATTCACGCTCAAGTTCCTTGACTACTTATTCTGATTACACGACTGAGACTGATGCGACAGCGATTACTCACCGAAACCACTGGAGGGTGTTCGTTCATTTTTCTCTCACGCTTGATTAACCAAAGAGAAAGATACTCATGCGTACACCGGTATGAATAGAATCCGGTCGGGAAAATCTATTCAACTTGCATCTAGTGGATGCATCGATTGGCGGGATGCGCAACGATCCGATTTGAATAAGGGCGCGAAACCCGGAATTCAGAATAGACGCCGATGGTTCACTGCAAGCGAAAGCCCGGAAAATTCCATGGAGAATTCGGCACTGGTTCCGGGACACGACCCAGGCCTCCGAGGGTGATTCCTAATTGGATAGCTTTTTCGTCTCGACGCAAGGTCTCCAGCAAAATATGTCTGATTTTGCCGAGATGTTCGTAAAATCCCTACTCTGACGCACCTGAGGCTTAAAGTAGGTATACTTGAGCAGGCCTTCTGGCTCTTCGACTCGGGGCCTCATATGCGAGAACTCGCGAATGAATCGCTGCTAACGAAGTTGGGAAACAAAGATATACCCGGGTCGCTCGCCGGTACCGTCCCGGATGCCCGATTTCAATGTCGGCTCGACTCGACCGATTCGCTTCGAATTTTATTCAGAGCACTGATGGAGTAGCGGCTTCCGAATTCGAAGAAGGAGCATGTCATGAGCCCGGGACTTCAATTTCATTCGATTCGGGGATACCCCAGCGAGGGACAGGCTTTCCGAAAGTCGATAGCTCGATCGCGAGCCGACACACAGCCCATATTTTCTCGGTACGTCAGATACGCTCGGCAACTTGGGGCGACATCAATCGGGAATGTTTCGACTACACAAGCGAGCTGAAACGTAAGCCGCACCAATCCAAATTTTCTCCCCGGGGCCGCTCCTCGGGGCTTCCTTTAGATAGGCTGCCTCATTGAGAGCTACCGCTCCTTGCCGCTCCATGTCTAGGGATTATCATCATCCATCATATTCCAAACTCCCTCCAATTAAAATCCTCACCCACGGACAGCCGGGTGGAAATGAGCCGCAAGCTCAGCCGGAAACGCCCGGCGTCCTCCCTCGTTTGGGAATTCCGGCAATTCGTTGGCGGGAGCCCAGCAGAATATACAGCGGAGCGTACCTGTCAGAAACGATAGAAATTCCAATCAGGATGCTTGGAAGATACGCCCGTGATCAAACGCTCCCTCCGAGAGCTCTTGCATCTAATCAGCATTTGATCCTCAAAAAAAACAGACTCCGAGAAGGGAGACCTGTTCCATTTTCGGACTCGTACGGAGAAAATTCGGTCGATTATGCCGTCAAGAATCATCCGAGCAACTTTTCGTACGGACTGTCGAACGAGCAACCTTTCGTGCGGACTGTCGATCGATTCTCGCGATACTAGCGGCCGACTTCGTTGATAACATGAATTCGATACGCATCATGAGCTCTGACGCTGCACTTCTAATTTCTCTGGCGAGAAACTCATTTCCGAATCTTGCATATTTCAGGGTGTGAGGTCAGAGCAAATTCTCTCCAGATCGCTTCAGTCATTCTCAACCAGAGCTCGGGGAGACATCCGCTGTGGCCCCCTCGTCCTTATGGATCGGGTTCACTATGATGTAGCAGTCTCTGGGATTCGGAGGAGTATTCCAGCTTCTATTGGTCTCTGAGTGCATGACCAGCGAATTTCCCGGAGTTTCAGTCCACCACAAGTATCTCCGCATACACCGAGAAGCGCTCCGGTCATATCGGGTGATCATGCGTTCGGAGCAAAGTCGAGCTGAAGTTCTTCAGTCACCGCCCGATCCACTAGCTCAGGGGTTCTCAACCTTTTTTGCCCTGCGGAACCCTGGTGGGGTTCCGCGGAACCCTTATTATTGGTTTCGGACTCTATCTTTCCAAATTTTCCCCTTAATCACCTCAAAACCTTCGACCACGATCGCATGAAGTATCCTGCATGCATTAGAGCCTAGAAAATTCATTCCAATTTGATAAAATGGATAAAAGTCTGAGCAGCCGAGCAGGGGCTCGCGGAACCCTAGGGTTCCGCGGAACCCAGGTTGAGAACCGCTGCACTAGCTGAATCAGCACTGCTCGTGTCAAGCACGACAACTCACCCAGAGATTACTGAGATTCGTGCGTTGACCGTGCGCGTCTAATTGGGATGAGGCATCCGGCGACGGAAAACTCCTATCATTCACCCATCCTCCTGTCTTCACCGATGACTCCCGTAACGAGAACTTGGAAGAAAAACAGAGAAAAACATTATTTCCGGGGGAAGTGAGGAAACTGAGTGAGTATGTGCTCGTTCACTATGACGGAAGGCAAATCCTTAGAAATTCACAGCTCCCGGGACCCAGGACTACGGAGTGTATGCCTCGGCCGAAGATGAAGAAATTCTTCTGCTCCAATCATGATTATTGAGAAGAGTTAAAATTCTTCCAATTCGCCGGATGCTCGGACCGACGATAGAAGAAGAGCAGAGCATCGAGATGAGGAATTGGGCGATACCATGGGTATGCCGAGAGAGAGCCGGCCCGAGCATGCGCTCCCTGGATCTCGCTTCTAGATTCCAGAGGAAAAATAAGAAGGAGTTGTCCCTCTCGTCCCTTCGGGACGATGCCTGGCTAGAGCGAGCGGGACATGGAATGCCTGGTCAGGAATCCGGACGGAGAGATCCCCATCTTGATCGGCGATATGAATTTTTAAACTAGGGGTCGCGCATAGAAAGATGAGCAGGAGATCTCGCCGTCCTCTGGGAGCTCAACTCTTTTTTCTCGCATCCGAGAGTACAATCACAGCCGGAACTGGGGTTCGCAAAGGACCGCGGGGTCGGCCAGAATGTCGAGCTTGAGACAACCATGTAGGACCGGCTGCTTCCGTCCAACCCATCAGCAAAGATCATCTTCGGCATTGCGTCCAACGGAGTCCGAGTGGTCCGGCCGTCGAGAGTTTTTGAATTTCGCAAACTTCTTAAGTGCTCTGATTTGTAAGCATTCCCCCTTGAACCTTCGAATGAACAATCGAGGCCTATATTGAGCCCTTGTGAGGTGCATTTAGTGCTGGGCATCGAACTGTACAGACCGAGCGGGAGCTTACATCTGTAGTGTGCAAGAGCCGCGATCTCTTCCCATCTCCGGACGCCATTGGCTGGCAGGCAGGCAAGCAGCAGTAGCGCAGCAGGCAGAAGCAAGCAGCAAACATAAAAGCGTTGTGTTTGGGCGCTTCCGTGTCCGATGTGTCGCAAACTCAAGTGAGCGAGAGATTCGAGGACGTGCAGTAGTTTCCTGGATAGGATCACGATGAAGCTCGTCACGCTTCAACCTGTCGAAGGGTCCCAGAAGTCGGTAGAAATCAAAGTCGGTAGGACCATCATCGGACGGGGTCCTCTACTCGAGGTAAGCGATTTCGAAGCTCCACCGTCAACTCGACTCTTCTGGATCAGCTCTTCGGAGTCTATAGCTCGGGAGGCGTTCATCGTCGATGAGAAGTTACCTGGGACCTCTCCAGAACATTGTGGACAGCTTAGGTGTGCCAAGTGTCAAAGTGTTGCGCGCCTAGATTTGCTCAAGAGTGGCAAGGAGTCGGCAACTCCAGACAGAGAGCTCCGCATCTCGGTCCCTTCTCCGTTTCCGGCTCCGGCGACCCCTGTTTGTGGAAGTTTCGGGGAGCTCTCTGGCTCAGGCTCGATTCAGAGTTCGTGGTGAAAACGAATGAAGCTGCGTTGTGCCTGAATTATCGCGTGCTTATGCGAACGCGGGTCTTTGACGAATGTGCGTCGTGCGTTCGAAACCGGGTGTCGTCTATCAGCCGGGGATCCAGTCTGGATCGGCGTGCACGACGTTAACTTCTATTGCGTGAATCCGTGAACTGCTAGGCTTAGGTTGGAAAAGAATAATGATCTTTTTGGAATCCGGCGGCACCCGTCTTGGAAAGCTTTCCAGCGCTCACTGAGTAGAAATAATTATCTGGAGGAAAATAAAATGCATCGAAATTGGAGCATCCCAACTTCCTGGAATCGAATGGCCTCGATAGGTATAAACCTCAATGAAAGAAAATTTGCAAACTATCAAAGCTAACCCCTCTGTCGGAATTCCAGTGCGCCGATAAGAAAGTTTCGCGCAACCATGCCGTCATCGAAGTGCGCGAGTCTGGCGATATCTATCTAACCCCTACGCACGTGAATCCGTGCTTCTACTTACCGAACGACTCAAACAAAGGCTTCGAAGTCCTCAAGAAAGATTGTCCTCAGCTGATTCATAATGGAGATTCCTTCTCCCTACTTCCCAACGGCTTCAGATACAGGTTAGTTCCTCCAGCCCACATGAGGTTGGTGGAGCCCATTGTACCGAGGCAAGATCAAGGTGCATTTGCAAATTCAAGGCAAAAAAATCGAGGTGATGGAGTCTTCGACGCTTCTGCATTCGAACTTCCTCTGACTTTCTGTATCGAGCGTTCTTGTCGCTTCCCATCCTTTCTCTCTAAATGCGCTCCGGACAGAATACCGAACCCTTATCCTAGACCAAAAAAAATTGGCTCGCACGTGTACCTATCTCGACCTCACTGAGCATTATTCGCTTGGTTTGCAGGGTTTCGGTATCGGATGTCTCTGACTACGAGAGCATCGAGAGCGAAAAAAATATCGCAGCCACAGCGGCTGCGGTCGCGGCGGCCTCCACAACAGCTGCAAATAAGGTCAAAGATAGCGCTTCCACTCCCGGCAGCAACACGACGAGTGGCGCTGGGAATAAGAAGGACGAAGCGCTACTCAACGGCGAGAATAAGAAGGATCCGAAGGAGGATGACAATCACAAAGCGAACCCAGTTGAAGAGAGTCCCAAGGACAACGGGAAGCCCACCCCACCGGTGAAGAACGGCCTGTGTAAGTACACGATATCGCCGCTTGATGAGCCGTGTGCTCCGACCAGTAGTGGATAGATTCTTCAGAAAAGCTGATCTCGCGCTGGGGTCCGAGCCGGCCATTTGGCTTCCGGACTGGCTTCATGTGATTGCATTCTCGTCGCTCTTTGCTTGATGTCCCAGGTTCCCTTATTACTTTATTCGTTAATAATCCAACCCCGAAGCCGTCAGATGATTGTAGTGTTTCCGTGGTCCGGGTCGCCCTCGACAATATGTGTTCTCTCCTCGCTTCCTTTGGTTCCATTTTAATTCGTTTTTTCCTTTCTCCTCATTTCGTTTAGCGCCGGTGCGAGCCAGCAGCAGACGAATTGAGTCGAAAAACGCATCCGACAAGGATCTCAGTGGACTCCGGGATCAACAGCACAAAACTCAAGCTGCCCTTAAGCAGAATTGCTCGGATTCGCCTGATTTGGCGGAGGATACTACTCCGTCTGCGAGTGTGAAGGAGAAAGAGAGCAAGAGTCGCGATTCTAGGAAAGCTCCGGTCGCCGAAGATTCGAAGAGCGATAGAAAAACACTCCCGAAAGGAACTCCCAACAGCAGCGTTCCATATAATTCAAAAGACAAATCGCCCCTAGCTTCGAAGAAGATCCTCAGCGAGAAGTCGGCGGCAAAGAAGGACGTCCGGAAAGAGAAAACGGATTCTGAGAAGCAGAAGCAACTTAAAAACTTCGACTTCGACGATGAGGATGATGACCCAGTTGTCAAACCAGCCGGAAAGAAACCCGTGAGTACTTGGTCACGGGAATCGTTGATTGAATGCGTCATTTATTTCAATGATGAAGTTGTTCTCAAGCGTGCATTCTCGTCGGGAAGCACTCATCCCTGCCTTTTGCGAATCGAGCGAATATCGAACGGAAAGCATTTCCATCGCATTCTCTTCCAGGCTCAGAAGACGCAAGCCAAGAAGCCAGCGGAGAGGTCCACGGCAGGCTCGGCGAGCGTTCCGCCGAATCCCAGTACGTCGAAGAGGAAGGAGCCTCCTAGTCGGAAACGCAGTCCCCCGCCCTCTCGGAGCAGCGTCGGCAGTGCAAGCGGCTCCCGGAGCACGAGAACACATCGCACCCTGATCCAGCGGATATCCCTGGACGACTTTATGGCGTCCGACGAAGAGTGGATAGCGACCTACGCTTCGAGCGACGAGGAACGGAAAAAAGCGCGCAAGAGACTCGGTAAGTCAAATTTTCGACTGTTTTCCTCGAACTACACGACTGACCCTGCAATGGTGACATCCGCGATTCCCTCAGAGCCCATAGGTCTCATATTCGAAAACTCCGCTTTTTCCAGCCAAACGAAAATCCGCTGCCGAAGCCTCCTCTGACGAGGATGATTGGAGTGGCAAGAAAACTAAGAAAAGACAGGCGAAGAAATCCCGAAAGACTAACACAGATGACGAGAACGATGACAGCGAGGACGACGATGGCGAGGAAGAGGAGGAAGTCAAACCGAAGCGATGTGAGGGCTATGAATTTCCCTTGCGAAAAGACTCGGCGGCGATCCTTCCCGTAATTTTTTCGAATCGTCATATTTTCTCATGCCCTCATCTCTAATCCACAGCGCGGGGGAGAACGTCCACTGCTGCCGCAAGAAAAAACAAGAAGAAAGCGAAGGTCACCGACGTCTCGGAGAGCTCAGATGAGAGCAAAAATGACGCCGGAAGTGACGACGCCGACGAAGACGAAGTAGAGAAATCGAAGGCGCCCTCGAAGAAAGCTCAAGCGCCCAAGAAGAAAGAAGCACCCAAGACCGCATCGGCGACGGCGGCGGCTGCTTCTGCTGCTGCTCCGACGCCTCCGAAGAAGAAAGTCTTCCGACGAAAAAAGTCCCATCTGTACGCCGAGTCTGAAGAAGATTTCCAGAGACAGCTAGCTCGAGCTATAAGGGAGTCCAAAAAGGAGCAGCTAAGAAAGTGAGTTGTCCGTCTTGGTTGCGTAGGTTTCTCAGTTCTCATAAATTGATGATTCGTTCTGACTTGGATGTTGTGTTCGGTTTCATATATTGTGTCTTTTCCGCCGAATCGGAGGGAGCGAATGCAGTTTTAAGCTTGGTTTTTGTTTCTTTCCTTTTCTAAAGATGATCGTGTATACCGCAGGGAGTGCGAAAAGCGGGAAAAAGCAACCGGCTACAGACCAACAGATCATGCAGCGCTCTCATCGACGACAGCATCAACATAGCTAACTAATCGACTGTCGACAGCACAGCCTTCCAAGCATATAGCAAACCACCGATCAACAGACTAGTACATGCCGAGTTCTGGACTAGGTCCACGTTGTAACTTTAAATAATCTCTTGTGTAAATGTACTTAGAGCTCTCGTTCGAAGGAACACGCCATTTGTACGGACATTTTCAAGCATTCGATGCTCGGATCGTGAGACAGTGACGATCAGTGGAGTTTTACCTCCACGACTTCTGAGAGGTTTCGGACGATCTTCGGGCCCCGCGGAGCGCACTCTTGGTATCTGACGACCGCAAAACCCTTCGAATCTGTCCCGTTCTCTCAGGAAGGGAGTTCGACTCGGAGGAGGGGTCCTCTCAGAACGAGCGACGGACAGATCTCGGCTATTCCTTCGAGCAGAGCTGTCGTTTTCGGTCATCTGACGCTCGAGTCGTGAAGTGCAGCGAGGGGATCCACCGGCGGACCCGTCGCGGATGCCCATGATCGAAGTCGGAAAATCAAATTCGAAGCCAATCATTTTTTCTGCAACGGGAAAATTCGGTCGATCGACCGGTGAACGGTCATCGTTTCGCAGGATAATCCTCCGGGTCCTAAGTACCCAGATATATGTATATCTGCCTGAATGGCCAGATATTCGTCGAGGAGAGCCCACTAATAAGTCTAAGCTAATGTGGATGATGAGGTCGTTCGCAGCGGGTTAGCGGTGTTTGTTGTGCAAGCAAGTCGAGCGATCGCCCGCACTTGGTCCGCCTAGGCCCAGAGCTCTCATTGGATATCGTGTGCATTATAGAGTGATTTTAGCATTTGCAAGAATATCCCAAAAGCACTAGCTCTTGCTCACGAGCCGCATACGGGTGTTTTCTCCTGTAGATTCGAGGCTCGAGCCGGGAGTCCGAGCTGCACGAAGCACCAGGGAGAAAAAACCACGTGCACCATTGGTGCTCCCTGAAATTCGGAGACGCCTCTCGGTGGTCCATCCGATGAAATCGCTGCCAGGGAGCAGTCTCGTTTGACCGAAACGTCCCGGGCCCACGGAGAAAAGTTCGGGACCGCGACTGCTCGAATTGGAACGTAGCCTGAGCCCAGGGACCTCGGCGCGCGAGTCCGGACGCAGCGGAACTTGAACAATTCCCGTTTGCAGCTTTTAGGGTGAGCATGAGCGTGCTATAATTCTCCAGCGTACGTTGAAGAACTATTGTAAGCATCCTAGAACGAATCGAAAGCCATGAAGCGGACAGCAGAAACAAAACACGACCGAATGTCCATAGGGGTCCCCTCCGAACTCGACGCGCAGAGGAGGCCGAGCTGACTTTCTCGAACGAACCTGCTTCCGGCTCTTAGCGCACTGAATTCACGAGGTTCCTTCATTGATCGAGTCCTCGAGTATCTTGCGTCCCATTCCGCTCGAGCTCGGAGCGGGAGACCGGTGTGGGGATCGCGACCATTCGAGGAATCAGTGGCCCAATCCGGTGTCGATGGCCGATGTCGGAGCTGCGACTTTCTCGAGGCGTTCCCTCGTTTGTCGTTCGTTGGAAACTGCTACGGTGAAATTCGCTCTCTTTTGCTGGCGTGTTTTGTGAGCGTGGGTCGCTATGCAGTCATTTTCTCAATGTACAAAGATTGATACAGCGGCGTTCGCCTCCATGTCTTACCGCGCAGTGGGAGCGAATTCTCGGTCGGGAAGAGTTGAGGGAACAATAATGCTCTCGTCTCGTTCCCTCTCTTCACTCTCTTCCTCCGGAAACGACTTCGTACCTTATCGAGCATTATCATACCGATCATCATCATCATCATTATTATTATTACCATCAGAATCTTCATCATCTACGCCGCTATGTCCATATTCTACTCTTTCATTATCGAAAACATTACTCTGTTGTAAATGTATGTACGTAGATTCCCATAATCCTAGTAGAAAATATGTAACCTCCTGGATGAACCATTGAGCTCCTCGCCGCCGTATGCAGGCATCTCCGGAATCGGGTCATCCGAGGCCCACCGGAAGCCTGCTACCTTAAACGCAGCTCCGATGAATTTCAGTCATTCCTCTCCACCAGTCTTCTTGCAACGGAGCACCTCCCATTCTTTTGTAGGGTATCCTCGAGCGTTGGACTTCGATGCGGGCTAGACGCTAATATAATTTATGTAAATGATCGATTGGTTTGACTCACCAAGACTAGAAAACGGGATTAGAACGAATCGGAAGTGCTAGGGGATCGCGGGGCGGATTCCGTCACCCCAGCTGCGAGGCTGACATGATCTGACTGACGGGCCGTGGGGTCGGAGCGTCTGGAACGAGAGCTCCACCGTGCCCTGCTGGAGCTCGACGGGAGAGCAAGCGATAGCAAACCATGAAGACTTCACAAATCGGTCGATCGGAAGCGAAACATAATTATATATAAGATTGAATGGAAAATATATATATATATACAGACATAAATATATACATATATACATATATACATACGGATATGAGTGAATAGGTAATCGGACGGAGTTGTCTGGCTTGAGACGATTACGTGTTTGGAGGAGAATGTCTGTGCGCGAGCGTGATCATTAGAATGGTCTGAGAGGAAGTATGCCGAGGAATGAGGAGAGAATGAGTTCCAGGCGATTTTTCGATGAGCGTTGGGCAAATCTGTCGACGATAAAACCTGAGTATGATGAAGATTTTTATGAGAGGAACGACTGTCAGGGATTTCGTGCGTTAGACAGCGAGGGGTAAGATTCTGGAAGAGACTGAAAATCTCACCATCTGCATAACATGAAGAAGTTCCGACCGCGAAGGAGGTTTTGATTGCCCGCGTCGCTACACGATGGGGGAATCGAGCCGGGAAACTCTTTGAAAGTGGCCAAAAATATTTTTGTGGTATACATTACGATGAGTTTTGCAGCGACGCCATGAGTCTGCGGTCATATGTCAAGCTCGACGTTCTGTGGAATGCCTGATTGATTGACTGGCTGATTCATACGGTGGAGCAAGAGAGTGAAATGGAATTGTGGAAAGCTACCCAATAAAATCAACCCACTAAGATGTTCCGGAAGAGCGTCTTCTGTCTGATGATCCCGCTCCGATTTCTACTCAGTCAGAGCATCACGAGAACGCATATTTACGTTCGTCCACAGAGTCTTCGACTACAGAAGCTAACGGCGCGGCGGCGTTGTCTCATAAATGGAGCTTCTACCACCGATATTCAAGTCAATGCCAGATCGCCAATATGACAGCCCGCCGAGGAGGACGCTCGCTGCGATTGAGGGTTTTTCACTTTCCCGGAGGGACGGGAATCTATGGGATGGGCAGCGAAAGAGATGAGAGAGCCGCTGAGTTTCCCTCACAGCGATTGAGGTCGAGGAAGGGGGTTCGGCGGTGATGATTTCATCTTCACCTCCGAGAGACGCTTTTCCAAGACTTTCCAGAGTCGGCGCAATTTTGTAATTGATGTTCAAAGTGAATATGATAATTCGAACTCCCACTCGAAATCGGCCGGATCACTTGGCGGGACCCGGTACGGACTCGGCTCCACTCATTCACAGTTCCACTAGTTGACGGTCGGACTCGGATCGGCTGAGAAGCTTTCGAGAGCGAGGAAGAGGAAAAGCCCCATTCGGAAGTGACCAGATGTTGACCATTCACGTGACGACAACGACTCCGTTTTTCTTCGCGGAAGAGAAATGAGTGACTGATGAAAATCGACCCGGATCGCGAAATACGGGATCGTTGAGGGAAAATGAAACACAAAAAGGGGAAATCACCAGAACAAGGGAAGAAGAAGGGCGAGCGCGGCCGTCTGAAACCTGCAGAACCCCTGAAGAAGACTGCGATGCAGAACGTGCTAAACGGTGAGGACAGGGAAGAGATCGACTCGATTATGAATATTTTCCGCGTCGATTCCAAGTTACGTATTTTCTGCGAATATGTATCTTACAGAACACGAGAAAGCCGCTGTGACATGTCTCAGGCTTCTGTCCTTGCAAACTAAACGAATGCACAAAATCAGGCTCGAAAACGATCCTTTGCATCAATTCAGTCTGGAACAAGCGTTTCTCGTCGCGACTGAAATCTACAGCAAATTGGAGTCTCAGGTACGAAGATGGGGGCGGGGGGAGCGCTTCGGGGCTTCCCGAGCGGAGCGGAGCTTCGTCTGGAGACTTCGGAACTCATTGTGATCCCTCGATCGATGAAAATCATGATGAAAGTATACAAATACGGCCATTCCAGATTCTGTCTCATGACCTCATACAAGATTTGATGGCTAATCTCATTTGCCTGCAAAGGGAACGAGTGAAACTCTATCCAGAAGCTGTTCTCCCATTTGCGGTTACATTGAAACAGCTCATGCTGACCGTTTCCGAGATCAGCAATTTTCTCCAAAGAGCCTCGGCTGCGCCCGTGACCGATTGGATTGGAGTCTCGGATAAACTCGTCGAGAACGCTCAAGCCGAAACAGCGAACTCCCAGCGACACGTCAAGATCCTCGACTACGTCCCGCGTCGAGAGCACTTCCGTTTACTGGAGATGATCGCGCGAGGCTCAATATCGAATATCTACAGAGTACTCCACGTGCCTTCAGATACGATCATGGCGTTGAAAATCACTCGATTGCCTCGACTTGATATCAGTGATGAGAGACAAGTTACCCAATGCTATGTGGATAAGGCCGTCGCGTCGATGGTGAGCAATCCGAGCGTCATCAAGATCTTCGCTGTGTACAACGCCAAGCCGAACGTCAGTGTCCTGCTCATGGACGGTTCGATACCGCGAGCGGACCTCCAGAACCTGGTCGAATCCGTGGGCTTCTTGGATTCCGAGTCGGTAGCACTGATAATCCTGCAGGTGATCCTTGCCGTGGAGCATATTCACATGAGCGGCTTCATTCATCGGGACGTAAAGCCTACGAATGTATTGGTCGATACGGCGGGTCATGTCAAATTGGTGGATTTCAATTGTGCGAAAATTTGTCGCGGTCATTACACCAAGCGGGTCCTTATGTCCTACTTCAAGAGGACTGCAAGCGAATTCCGAGAAAAAGATTCCTGTGGCGCCTTAGCCTACACCGCCCCAGAAATCTTGAAGGGTGCCCCTTTTGGTCGTTCGGCCGATTGGTGGTCCGTCGGGGTTCTCCTCTATAAGATTTCTTCGACCAAAACTCCATTCAGATCTCGAGACGCGGCTGCGCTGAGGAAAAAAATCGTCCACGACAATTTCTTCTGGCCGAAAGAGAACAGCGCTACAGTCGATGCGAAGGAGTTCACCCACGATCTCTTGAAAAAAAATCCGAGCGAACGCCTCGGCTCAAAGACCTACAGGGAGTTCAAAGAGCACAATTACATCGTATTCGCGAGCAAACTCTTGGACGATCTCGTGGTCAAGTTCAAGGGCAAGTCGACCACCTATAGGGATCCCGAGCACAAGGTGAGGAAAAATCTCCTCTCCTCCTTGTTCTATGAATCATGCATCCGCGGTCTTCGGAGAGCAATGAGCAGGAGTAACTTCGACGGTCTGCTAATGAAATGCTTATATCAGGTTTTCTACACCAAGTGCATCATGGACATGGAGCCCCTGTTCAAGAATCTCAAACATTCCGGCAGAACGACTGGCGTTTCTACGTGCCCCCGCTTCGAGGATCTGGAAGATGAAGACAAGCATCAACCTCTGTTCACATTCTCGAACATCAAATTCCGAAAGCTTCTGGACAGGATCTCATCGGGAGAAGCCGCCTCGGCGGAACTGAAGTTGCAGTATATGTCAAGCATTACGCCTCCTCAAGCCGATCTCGACTACTCCGCGCCGAGCAACGCGTACGAAGAAACCGACACTATTTTGGAGACGACGAAAAATGAAATTGACGTGTATAGAGAGGCGATCCTCCAGAGACAGTGGGTCAACATGCCGCTGGGGGGAAGGCCCAAACAACCTCTCGTCGACTTGATTACGGTCTTCGGTGATGGCAACCAGGTGTATCCGGTGGTCGCTGATACCGATTTCGCTCAAGAGGAATTTGAGACCCCTCTAATTAAAGGTACTGGTATCAGACGAAGTGGGCATCCTGGGTCTTACATTGTCGGAGGCAATCGTGTGAGGAAGGAAAAATGAGTTCCATAGAATATGGCTCCCGGCCGAAAATCGCTCAGAGCGGCCCCTGAGTTCTCGACTCGTGATCTCAGGTGACATGATCGCAGCGGTCAACAACAATCCAGTCATGGACCTGTCTCTCGAGGAAGTCCTCTCCATCATCGATAAAGAAATCGAAAGCCTCAGACCACGAGTGATGACGTTGAGTTGCCAAGTACTGTCCAGAAATCCATTCAGACTATTCAAAACCAGCGCTACGAATGCGCTAGCTGCAATAAGCTCGGCGAGGATGACGCGACTCACTTTTTATAAGCCCGAACTGTGTAAGTCTCTTACTTTGTATTCAAGTCCGAGTCGGAAAATTTGGAACTGAGATATTCTCCGGATTGAAACGTAACGATTCCAGCTACCGAGTTCCTCTTGACCAGTCTACACACGGTATGGAACACGAAGACGAAAGCCTACGAAAGCTATCACGTGATTTCATTCGTACATCCCGATTCGCGAATCCTAGAGGCTGAGAGCGTCTTATTTGGAGACATACTTGTGGAGGTGGGCAGAATTAATCTCGACCGGGGCTTAGGAGTTACAGCACCATTCATTCGTGACGGCCGATCACTTCTCCATTGATCTGATTGATAGGTCGATCGATAAAGTCTGCAGACAGCTACAGCTCTGGAGCTCGGACCTCGTCCACCCAGCCATGGATCCATGTGGGAGTAGGGCGCCGCACAAATGATCAATGCCTTAACTCCTAAGCTCCAGTATTTGCCTCCTTTGCCTCGGAGGAGATATCCCAAGCCGATGGATTCTCGCGCTAACTTTCCTGTCTCACGGGAGGAACCCTGCTTCCGCTTTCTAGTTTTCTTTGCTCGCTTCTCAGATCGAGGGCCATCCCTGCGCCGACCTAAGCGAGGATGATGTTCAAGCTCGGTTGCAGAGTCCGGAGAAAGTGGTCATCTCAGTCTTAGAACTCTCAATACTGCACAGAAAGGATCTCCTTGAGTTGTCTCTAATCTCCTTCGACTAGAATTTTAAAACAACATTGCGGAATCCTGTCAACTGTACAGCAGAGGATCGTGGCGAAAACCAGAGAGTTCATCCGAGAAGTATTCGAATCAGATACCTTCCATGGCAAGGAGATTTATTAGTAGATAGAAAACCTCGATCTCGAATAAGCCCGAATGGTAGGTCTTGAACTTGCTTTCTCCTGCTGGTTGATGGCTCGGCGCTATTCTAAATCAGGTGTGAGTCGAGGTCGCATGGATCGTGAGAAGAATTCGCCACGCCGTCAGTTTTTAGTGAGCAGATGCTTCAGTTTGTCGAAGAGCTCCGGCTTCTGCTCTCTTATGAAATTTTCCACCTTTCCACCGGACGCATCCTCGAGCGCTTGAAATATAAATCCAAAATCCTTCTTCCATCGCTCGGATTTTTTTTTCATCTGATACCTAGCTGAGAGATGATCTCCGACTGCACTACGAGACGAATAAAATTAATCCAGACTTTGTACATGGAGGCTTGTGTAGGTATAATCATCTTACCGAAGCGGGAGAATACGGCGTCGACGGCTCCTTCAGCTCTATGAACTTCTTCCGGCGTTGAGTTCTCCGGAAGGATAATCTCGACCTCTCCCACGTGTTTCCCATCGAAAGAATCCAGAACAACGGTGATCGGTGACCCGTACGCATGGACCTGCGAATTCACATTAAGGAGGAGGTTCACAGAAGAGGTCGGCCGCGGCCGCATTCCAAGACTGAGGAATAATCTAATTTGAGATAACTCAATCATGGCGGTAATTGAATATTTCTACCTTAAGTTCATGAGTGCGTCTGGTCGTGCGAATGGCACACCAGCACTGCAAGCTTTCCAGGATCTCTTCAAAGGAAGCTCCGTCCGCGGCAGCGAGCACTCGCCTGCGGGTTGGAAGTCGGCTCAATCTTCTATGGGTAAGACGATATTGTTTCTCAGCAATGTGCGCTCTCGAATTCCGGAGGGTTCGGAGAAGCGACAAGAAATCCATTCTGATTCTGATGGTGGCTCTGGTACCTAATGCAAGAGGCTATTTCTCGTATATCCGACGTCTCCATGTACTGCGTGCAGTGACGTTCTTCGACGCCGTCCTGCGGCAGCGCGTGTCGGTACTTTATTTCCCACACTCCTCTACTCGAGTCGACCGTTCTCTGTCTCAGCCAATGATCGTTCACCGTCAGTTCGAATGAAGAATTATCGAAGTACTGATCGAGGAGGAGCAACTCTTCTTTCCGAACGAAGTATTCTCCCTCCTCCAAATTGACGAAGGGATTCTCCGCAGTCACCCTAAACTTCCGTTCGACTTCCATCCTCTAGCAACGAAGTCGAGCGACGTCCGATTGAGACGATGGGGGTCACAACCTGATCATGATGGGTCAGATATGATTCCGTCAGCTGTCTATCCGCGGTCGTTCTCTCACATCACTCACTCGCGAGATGGCCTCGACTCGGCGCTCGATGGCGACTTGAAACTTTGTGTACCGATGGCTCGGAGGGGGGGAATTCGCTCCTCACGGTGGGAGCTGAGCGGCCAGATCGACGATATCGCCGTTCTCGTAGTAAAAACTCCCAATCGCGCGGCCGAGTCGTACTGCTCTGTCCGATGTGTGGCCACTTTCGAAGGGCCCGCGGGCTAAATATTCGTCAAGTCGCCAGCCCGCCTCTCAAGTAGCCACATAAGCGCCAAGCCGAGATCTGTTTACACGCCGCGAGAGGCTCTGCGCAGTATTGAGGTCCGGGTGAGTGGAAGAAAACGTTTCTCTTGAGGCACAAGTCCGGAGCCACATCGTCGAAGACGAAACTGAGCTACCTTCGCCGGAGACTACGGAAGCGAGGTTAGTTGGCATCGAGGTTCTACTTGTCAGCTCGTATCCACCAGCTGATCGGGCTGCTCTCAGCGTGAATTGATCGTACATCAATGATCCGAGCAGAAACACTCTTGCACGGAATTATCACGACGCATTCTGAAAAACTCGAAAAACGATCATGCAGCCAGTGACGAATCTGGAATGGACGCGCGTGTTGGAACTCTAAGCCTATTTGAACCCTAAACGTGGATTCCGGAGAATCATTTTCTCATTAAACGATTGAACATACGGTTTCTCGATCGGCAACTCCTCCTCGGGGAACTTCGGGGCGTCTGATTCCTCTAGAACTCGGTCTTTCCTGGAAATCTCCGGTGAGATTGCTCAGCGTGAAACCTGGTCGGATGACGGCCGCAGCGGTTTTCTCCTTTTCCCCGTAGGGTATCGTGTTGCGAAAGATCTCCCATCGGGTACTACTTGCACTCGACGCTTATAATTGTCTAAGGGCTCCATCACGGTGTGATCAGCACGATTCATGCTCCATGGTCCCATATCTCCGTATTCTTGACCGAACTCGTTCGAGACGATCTAAATCAAGCGGAATACAGAATGCCCCAGAATACACAAATCGTCTTGGCGGGTGAAGACTTTAGACACGGACATGAGTCATGATGGCTTTCTCGCATCTTTCTGAAACGAAATCGCCCGTCGTGCTGACAGGGTGATTTAAGCATGATGGGTTGTAGTTTCCCTGATGAGTAGAGAAAGTGAGAATCTCCACTTGAAGAATCCTTGATTTTCTCTTCCTTGTTCCCGAGAAACTATCATGAGGTCTAAATGATTATGAGCTGGAGATGAAGTATCCCGAATATTCTCTCCTTTCATCGAGGATGACCGGTCTCCCCGCCACCTGTATGGGCTCCTGTCATACAAGCAGCGAGGGCGACGAGACGGTGGAGACAGTTCCGACTTTGAACGATCTATGTTCTGTTTCAGGATGGCGGAACGATCCGGTTCAGTGAAGGCGGAAACCACTGGGAACGACTCGATGGCTGATTTCCACTTCAAGCCATTGGACAGAGAAGAATACTATCTGGATGACGTATTGACGCTGTACTTCCAAGTGCCAGATTCGGATCGGTGTCCGAGCTACCTGGATGTGGTTCGACTAGCACCGCTCGAGTTGACACCCAGACAAAAGAAACAGGCCGCTCGACATGAATTGGCTTTCAGCTATTGCCGATGGGATATCGAGAGCGGTGACGGACAGTTCTCTGTCAGCTTGAAAGGTATCGTATTCTCGTCGAAGATCAGAGACTTTCTCGATACCTCCATCCTCCATGGGTCTTTTGTCTTTGATATAGTGGAGAAGAAAAACGGCATGTACATTTCTAACTCCCGAGGCTTCTCTCTCTCAGTGAAAGACATCGTTGCTTCGAACGACAACTTCAATAGCGAGGAGGAAGGAATCGTCTACGTTGCTCAGTACGTCGTATCGCCCAACAACAAAGTAATCGCAGAGAGCTCGCCATTCCGGATCTACCCCGTTCTCGAAGAATCGACTATGAATCTCCCTGAGGCATTCAGCGACGATGGCCTCATCGTCCTGGGATCCGGAAGCGAGTCCGAGCCCGAACTGCTCGACGAGGAGCCCGAGAAAAATTCGGCGAAATCCGATCGCGACGGTATGTCGGAGGAGGGTAGACCTCAGATCGAGAACATCGAGTTTATTCTATCCGTCTGTGTTTCGAGTACTTAGGGATCGTACTTTCTCTCCAGATGAAGAACTCACGATCGTCATGACCGAGAGAGAGCTTCGGAACATGGAAAAAGAAAACCGGGCCAGTAACGAAAAACTGCGCTCGTTCATCGATCAGTACAAGAACGATCTTCTGGAGTTAACCAAGTGTAATGAGACCCTCAAGCAGAAGCTATACGATGAACAATATAAAGTCACAAATCTCGAGAGGGCTCAAAGCAAGATGTCGACGCAACTCATTGAGGTTAGGAGCGCGAAAATTCGTCTGGAGGCTATCCTCAAAGAAACGATCGCTGAGCGCGAACGGAAGTTGAGGGAGGAACAAAGTCGGAATTCCAAATTGGAAGAGGAGGTTTCCATCCTCAACGGACAAGTTGAGAACCTCCGCTGCTGTGTAGATGCGCACCTCGAGACGAAAAATCTTCTCATGGCCGAAATGGACAGCTTGCGCGTGAAGCAGGAACTCGATAGGAAAACTGTCCTTGATAAAGCGACGAGCACGCTCCAAGATCCAATCATGTCCACAAGGGATCGAGCTTCGAAGGAAACCTCGGAGAGAAGCGTCGACGATCTGCTCACCGCAGAAACTCTGAAGAAGTTGACCGAGGAAAACGCTCGCCTACAGCGGGAGAAGCGTAAGCTGTGGAGGGAGCTCGTTCGCATGAAGAGCGAAGCAGGCGCTTCAGAACTCTCGACCGATACGTCCGACATCGGCGACTCGTTCAAAGCTTCGAGTCAGCGGAATACAGAGCTCGAAGATCGTGTTGAGGACCTAACCAAAAGACTGCAGAGCGCGAAGATCGCTTACATTTCGCTATACAAAGAGAACAAACGCAAAGAGAAAGCGCTCGAGAACATCTGTAACTGGGCTTCGCTGGCCAAAGACGGCATGTCCCTAGAGGCCCCAGGGCCCTCCCAGGTTCCCTCGTTGCTCTCATTGACTCGCAACAAGTTCTCTTCATGTGAGTAAATGCTACCCGAGATGGTATATCGATAAATGTCTCGAGCTCATTCCATCGCGTCGTCTCCGACGGAACCGAGAGCAGTGATACAGGCTGATACAGAAGGTAATAATACCTGAATGTTGCATTTTAGCATTCGATGAATCGCTTCCGAGAATTTTGAAGGATCCACCGAGCGCCGTGAGAAATCAGGTCCCCAGCGAATCGTCTCCGAAAACTTTCGCCGGTTTCCCGAGCGTTAAACCGAGAACATCCGGCTTGGAATCTCTTGAAGATGATCTGGTCCAGTTGAGCTCCGACTCCAAGTTGCCTCTGCCACCGCGCCAGAAGAGGAAATACGATCCCTTTCGAAAAACCGCGACGGGTGCGCCCGCCAGGTGAGAATCCGCGTCTCACGAGCGTATCTGAAGTTCTTCTCTGAGGCCTCTCCAGAATGAGGACGCGCCCTAAGCTCGAGCAACACGAGAGGATAGTTCGGCAGAGGCTTCGGCCCCAACGCCGCGCCGCCTCGGATACGCGCCGGCCCCTCTGTCTGTACGTATGTGCAGCTCGAAAGCCAGTCGAGTTGAAATGATTTTCCCGTTCCAGCGTACAAACCACCGCGGCCACAAGAGCTATGCAAAGGGGGAAGATGGTGGTTCGTGGCCGGCACAGAGCCAACGAAGCGGCGAGGTTTCCACTGAAGCGAGAAATTCCCGCGAAAGAAGTCTTCGATTACTCGCACGCTTGTCTCCTCCCAACTGCTTCTGCACCGAAACCCGCGCAGGGTCCGCGGTCAAGGATTATATTCAAGAAGAAAGAAGCACCAAAGCCTTCTGCGCCCGAAGCTAGTTCGGTCGATGAATCCGCTCAGGAGAGCTCTGCGGTCTTGGCGAGTGCTCCTCAGCCATCTCCAAGAGGCACCAACACGTATTCGGCCGCCGAATTGATCTCTGACCTCGAAACAGATGCTTCGAACACAGAGGAGGAGCCGAGGTACGTCGGCATGCTTCAGCCTCCCGAACTTTAGTACATATACGTAATTCCTCCTTTCCTCGTCGTTAGGATGGGAAGAAGGGAGGGGGGAATCAGCGGAACTGAGAGAGTATTCCTTTCTCTTCAACAGCGTCATCAATCCGAACATATGCCCGCTGTGCGTGACTTCTATCCTCGATTACGAGGCCCATATGCGAGAAGCCCACCAGAAACAGCCCTGTCCCATCTGCGGTCACGTGTTCGACACCGACATCCCGCTGTACGTGATGACGTATCACATCGAACGTCATCTAGAAGAAGCGGAAGTATCTCCCGAGACTCAATGAAGGAGCGCACCAGCCCTGCCGACGCAAGCTTTGGAAGGGCTGGTGAGAGGTTTCGCGCGCTGGTTCGATGGATGGCCCTGATCCCTCGCGGGCGATTCGGAAGAGTCCGTTACTCGATCCCCATGAGACGGTCGTTGAGAAATCTCACCGCAGGCAGGAGGAGGACAGCGGCTGAGCTGTCTTGAACGACCTCGGTAATCGCCTGAGTCCGATTGGTTTTTATTTGATTTCATAACTGACCGTCTATTCCCGAGTGAGCGATGAGATTTCCGGATGAATTCCCCGTCTTGGAACGATTCGACCGTGAGAAACTTATGATTCAGGCACCGTCTCCATCGCGAGCGGGGCGAGGAACAACACGTTGCAATCTTACCGAGAGCGTTCCCTGAGTGGTCGATAGTGCGGATAGTGATAGTAGCACTATTCCGATGTGCAAGGGTTCGATAGTTCCGTTCCATCCAACAATAAGTTGACGGAACTCCGCCCCTGACTACCTTATAGGAGTATGCATAGTATTCAGTACGCAGAGGGATATCACTGAAAGATAGGGGAGCGAGAGACGATACCCACGGCTGCGGTTGCGGTTCCCCCTGACTTTTGTGAGGACGTTGTCCCGCGTCAGGGGCTCGGTAACCGAGTCAGAGTTCACTACGTATTCGTCAAACGATACGTTCATTCACGCTCGTAGAAAATCTATTTTCTATTCCATCTTATTATTCTACTAGCGTCGAGATATTGCTGTGTCGTAGTGACGGATGACGTCATTCAGTCTCTAGGCTTTGGCTCAGGAAGCAGCGAGCATTGGGATACGATTATAAGAACATAGAAGTTTTGTCTCTCTCTCTGAATAAGAGGAATGATATGAAGCTGTTGACAAAGACAAAATAAAGAATTTCGTCATATTAAGGAAAAGGGATTTCGTCTTTCGTAGCCGACTCTCGTCCTAGAGGGAAGTCCACGCTCCCATTCCACATCGACCAACTCCGTGGAGAGCGATCTGTAACGAACATTTTCCATAATTTGAGTCTGCGGTGGAATACCACCCACTGCCGCTCATTTCCTTTCGTCGTGACGAGAGGCTTCCGGGTCTTCTACTACATTCAACCTGTCGGTCACTGCAGAAAACCTCCTAGATATGCTTTGGGGCTCTCGTTGTGGACCTACTGGGTCTTTCTGGACCTTCTCCCGAGGAGGGAGCAAGGATCCGACAATCGAGGTGCGAGAGAGCCCGAGAGTAGTACCAGGCCAACACTGAGCGCTCCGGAGGTGTGCCTATGCTACCAATATGAGGGATTGGCCTGTCGGACTACCTTGTTCTTGTGCGCGATGAAATCCCACACGCGGCTCCTCTCGGATACCGCTACCTAAACCCATCCCGCTGTTCTTCCATCGACGACCATCGTGCCATTGCGTGCTGCAGAGGCCGGAGGACAGTGACGTACCATATCTCTATGATGCCCGGGGCGTTTCCGTTTTTTTTCGACCCTTTCTCTGCTTATTCATCTACTATACCGAGGAATTTCAAGGAACGAAGTCGAAACTTTCAGTGAAATTAGGAGTCTATGGTACGCTACTGCTGGAGGAGGAGGGGGGAGAGGTTATGATTATTTTCCAACGAGCATCCACACAGGATTCAAGTCTCAGGATCCTCGCACCGTTGGCTCTTACGGAGCACACCAAAGTCCCTGCAAAGCTATCATCCACTGTTGGAGAATCGCCATGCGTTTCCTCTGGAGCGCGGAAGAGGGCATATATGAAGACGGACAGCCGAAAAGGTTAGATCGGTCCGTCCTTCAAGAGCAGATCAGCAGAGTCGGCGCAACCTCGATCGAAAGGTCGCCATCCGTACCGGCGACTCGTCGGTACGGATGAGGAGAGCTCGTGGTCGTTGTCGTTTTTCCCATCTCGTCCGATTCCTGCGGCCGACTGTTGTGCTTGATGCTCCCCGCCTCTGGCCCGTGAACCTTCATCCGACGCTACGGTTCCTATTGGTCAGGCCAGTGTCATCAGGTTCAGGTTCACGAGGTTCAGGCATTATCGTTCACGTGGACGCGTATACATATGTTTATGTACGAGACCGAATGGCGAACGGAGACTACAATGGTCGCGAAAACGGCTGTGACTATGATGAAGTCGAGTGCTCTCTAACGAGAATGTCCTTCCCTGAGCTAGAAACCCAAAAGGCTAAAAATCTGGGCTACTCGGACTGCATAAACACCCAGTGCCTGTGTTAGTCGTAGATGAATGATCCTTCGATGGCCGCATAACTGCGGCACTAGGTGTGACTGGAAGCTCTTCTGCGCACAAACCGGCTCCCGGCCTGTCAAACGGCTCATCGGTCGGCCTTCACTGACTTGTGGGCATGGGCAGCAGGAACCACTCACGAATCGTTAGTCGGCTAGTTAGCTAAACGAGCGTTCACCAAAAACCACCCGTTCGGCCCAATGACGCATGACGCGGCTGACTACGATGCCGAGGCTATGTACACAAGACACCGTGCCGTTGGCCTCATTAGCCAGGACATTTTCCTGAAAATCGACCGTCGTCGAGGCGATGATCGGAGTTTACCAGAACTGCTTCGCGCATCCAAATCTGGGGATGATGACCGCTGTCGAAAGTCACTGACAGGATACCGATACCGAGATCAAATCGCGACGCCGCTGCGTCGGGAGTTTTTTTCCGGATACGACTGACCCGATTCGCGGGCACTCATTTGCGTGCTCAGGCCCACGGATCCTTATGGGTGGGGCAGCGTGGTCAGAAACGGCGAAATCTATGCTTCACGGAAAGCCTCGGTGGGTCGCGATCCCGCCCTCCGCGCTTGCCCTCTCTGACATGAAATGGAATATCGGAGAAGCCTCAACGTCCAGGCTGAGATTTGCGTGGGGAAAGAAACCCCGACTATAGCTCTGGATTGAGACAGCCTCCCTCGGTGAGCCCGACCAGACTCAGGGATGGGAGTCGTGCTGGAACTCCGGACCCAAACTCCGGCGTCACCTGTTCCCGTGGAAGACTTTCAACAGCTGAGAGCTGTCTCCGGCGGAAATCATTGGTCATCTGCTCGTTCTCGAGGAGCTTCTCCGAGACTCGCATTGCAGTCGTGATTGCTTTCCATAGCGAAGGAGGCGTAGACTCGAGATTCTCGCCTCCCCGAGGTCGATTGTGAAGGTCTCGTACATGTTTATCAGCCGATGTGTTTCTCCGATCGTCCTTCCGAGCCTATTTCTCTCGAATTTTCCGCGCGCCGGTCGTCGTGACCGATGTTACGCGAATATCATCCGAGACAGCCAGTCTTCCCAAAGTCGGTCCCGGATATAGTCTTACCGCAGGGGACCATTTCTCATGACGCCTACTCGTTTAATACACCTGACGCGCGACCATCTCTACGAAGGGGCTATGAACTCGGCGAGCGAGCGGCTTCTATGTGGAGAACCTTGATCTGTTGCATCGTGATGCTGCCAAGAATTTCGAATCATCTATGCAGCGAGTCGAATCGCTTGACCAAAGGCGCTCTGAAGGTCCCGGATATCACCCGACATTAGTAGTTGCTTCGATACAAGGTCGCCTGTTACGTAGCCTAGAATAACGGACGGAGGGTCCTCACCCTGCTGCGTGCATAGCGGCTGGATTCAGAGACCTTTGCGAGCATCGATGAACGAGGAATTATGCTTTCTGGTGGTGCGCTGGTGCGGTGAGAGAATCTTCACACCGTCCGGCTGAACGACTTCCCGGGAGACACCAGCAGACCTCTCGGCACTCGTGGCTCACGAATGATCCTACCGGAGGAGTTTTGGCTCAAATCATAAGAGGATATCCGCTGTATGATTTCTTGCCAACAGTTTCGCGGTCCGTCCCGGGCGGATGCTCAGGGGAATCCACACCAGGGTTTTCCGGGTCGGGAAGGCGGGAATCTCGGGCAAGGAGGCGACGCGACGTCCAGTTATCACGAGTCAGAGAGGTATCGGGTGGGCATCAGGTGTCGGTCTGGACCGAGCTCGGAGCTGCATCATCGGGGAAATGAAAGCAAACATCGTGGACATGTCGAGCGTCTTCCCAAAGACCCCGAGCCGGACAGAAGCCGGTTTCATGATTCTTCCGAAACGCATGCTCCGAAGGAGTACGATGCCGTTCAGCGGAAAGGGGTTTGCAGGATGCAGTCGTTGAAGGAAAGACTCGTCGAGCTCGTAACTCAGCTGAGAACTCGAACTCTGTGGAAATATACGGCTGTCTTCGGTCTATCTACGGGAGTCGCGAAAAAAGTGAAATTCTCGAATTCCTTTTCCGGAAACTTAAACCTCCTCCAGGAATTCACTGCCGTTCAGCCACGAGCTGAAAAGCTCCTCATGAAGTCACCTCTGCCCATACCAACAAGTGAGACCACCGTTGGCGAACCATGGTCCCCTCTCGACGCGTGGCATGAAATCCCAATCCAGCTCCATCTCGATAAGTGATTTCAGTTGCTCGATTTCGTGATGTCCCTCTAATCCTCGCGAGCCGCCCTCCTTCTCGCTTCTCCCATGAGCCATCCAGATCAGGTGAATCAGTGTTCGAAGCGCCTCCGGTGGCGAATTCTGTCCTCATCAATTCGTCGTTCCACACGTGTCGAGCAGCTCCTCGCCGAGCAACCTGCCGGAGCGTGAATGTAATCGGACTGCGGCCGGCTACGCATCGCCTATCTCCGCATCCGACACTACCTAGTTAATCGATCATATTCCCCGAATAACGACTCTGCTTCGACTTGAAATACTTCGGCGGTGGAGTGAAGTTTCCTGTAGAATAGCATATGAGCGCTCCGTGAGCGTAAATTCGGCGATTCTCCCCTCAGAGCTCGCATGAGTCTGTCGGCGACCGTGAGTTTCATTCGATCTTTGCTTCACTTCCTGGAAAATCTGAACGATTCCCAGCGACGGAAAGCCCATTCAAACAGAGGCTCGAGCAAACGAGCCGACAAACGCGCAGACAACCAGAAGCCAGCAACGGCCTTGACGTCTCGTGATCAGAGCCAACGAAAGGGTTGATGTTTGTCTGTCGCTCACCCACTCGCGCTCCCGCTCGCTCGCTTTGCTGGCTTTTCGGTCAGACTGACTAGCGAGCCGTCTGGCTGCGCTAGCCAGCAGTATAGGAGCAGTCTACAAGCAGCAGCGTCGCGGTGCGTGTTCCCCGTCTGCTCCCTCGCAATAGCTGTTCCGGAATTCACGCCCTGGGTCGCTGCTCCAAGGCGTCAGGTGGTCCGACTCGGTATTTCTCGGAGGATCGCACGATCTCCCTGGCCCATCAGATCCGACCGTTTCGGGATCATTGGCCCATCACCACGAATCATTCTGTTGTTCCGACGCAAGCCGTCGCGGCCTTCAAACGAATACCTCTCCACGAGACGAGTGATTTCCAGTTCACACGCGCTCCCGGTTCGTCTGCGGAAATATTCCAGAGTTCAGAATGAACTCCAGTGCTTCGTCCACGCTTCCGCTCGGCTCGCGCTCCTAGCAGGTGGCGGTCCGTCAAGCAGGTGGCGGTAGTGAGCAGGCCCCAGTCCCCGCGTGCGTTTTCCGAAGTGCGCGCAGGCAAGCCGGCGGGCTCGTTGCCTGGCAGGAGGACTGGCAAACAGACCGGCTGGCTGGAAGGCAGGCAGGCGAACAGGCTGGATGTCTGACGGCTAGCAAACAGACTCGCAGGCTAGCGTGCAGGCAGCATTGACAGCCCTTTCTTCAACCTCTTCTCCTCCCAGTTCCCTCTCGGCGGTTACGACGACAACGACGTCGTTCGCTCGCTCGCTCGCTGGCTAGCCAGCTCGGTGGTCGTAGAATCAGATCGTGCGTGCGAACGCCGGCAGAGAGACCGGTCACCACCAAGATCAGATCACGAAAGAGACCCGTCGTTAGGGAGTCAGCTGTGGGAGAAGCCGGACGACGACGACGACGACATTGAGGATCGTCACTCGATGCCAATCGACGACTCGACAGCCGCGCGTAGAACTCGACCCGGAGTAGTTTCAATGTCGAAGGATCGACCGGTCGGAGGGCGACCGTGAGAGAATCGAGACGTACGCCACCTCACCGGTATGCCCCGGCATACGCACAGTAGACTGGCGGTCTCATCCGGAATCGGCGAGCTCCCGAAACGTCAGCCGTGTCGGATTGATTGTTGTGCTAAGTGAGCCGATCGAAAAACACCTGTAGCGACCGAGCTTTGTGACGACGAGAAATACTTCCTACGAGAGGCAGACTGTGAACGAGCCGTCATTCGGAGACGTCATTCGGAGCCAACGGCCAACTCTACCGCTGCCGAGACGGGAACATCGAAACCTCGGTCCCGGTCGACTGTCGAAATCCCCGCCAATGGAAGCGCCGGTTCGGAGAGATAATCGCTCGTGATGCTCGACACTACTACAGGTGTGTTGCGGACAGACGCCTGAGGTGCTCGATCAAGCTCGAGCCGAGGTCGTGCGTTCGCGTGAATCCATGACCCAAACGGGAAACCGATCCGTAGTCCCACCGAGTAGCATCAAGTGTTCAGACGGACTCGCGCTCATTCGCTCGAACCACGATAGACTCCAGTGAGAGAACGGAGACAGCTTGACGGTCAGGCTAGAAGCTAAGCGAGCAGGAAGAAGAGCTCGAAAGACGGCGATCGACTGAGGGCTTAAGGTCAGAGGTTGATTCAGAGAACACCGGACGCATCGAGAATGCCATCGTGCGCCGGTGTATTTTGCTCCCCCACGCCAGCAGACCTCGTCGTGTTTTCCGTCTCCGCCGTCGTTAGTTCCGTCGCTCACGGCCCACTCTGGAACAAGGTGGACGTTTGAAAGTATCGCTAGCGAGTGGAAGGAAGTCTTTCAATCAACAAGCAACCTGCATCCACAGTCTTTGTCTCGGGAAGCCTGCCGCACTCGGGAAAAGTCCGAACCCCGTGCTTCCGTATAGGAACGACTGTTTTAGTAGCGGAAGGTGCAGCAGAGAACTAAGAACGAGTGTGAGGAGCTGTAGAAGTTCGACGAAGGAGCCTCATCCTGTGCATTCTTCGGATTCTGTGACATTGAGCGCGACCGATCGGAGCGTTCGAAGCCTTTTGCCGGATAGCGTTTCCACTCTGCCTATCGACATGTCGGCGGCCAATGTTTGTGTTTTCGTGCCGGAAGATCGCTTCCAGAACAAGAGAGTAAGTTCCACATGAGAATAGGTCCTAAACGCGATCTCAGGGGAGAGAGATAAAAGACTTTCGTTCCCAGGGAAATCCCACGTGTAGCTATATTTCCGATAAACCCATGGAGCTCATATATTCGACGGGCAGAGACTTGGCTGAAAATGTTTTTCCTGGATGTGATCCGACGAACGTACTACGTCAGATCAGCTGTCCCGCTCTGATCCAATTCTGAAACCTGAAAAGATACGCGGTGTCAGATGTAATTTCAGGGAATCGTTGTGTTCACGACTCATTTCAGATTCACCCTGAGAAGGTGAACATTCGAACTCGTCTTGCGAAAAGATACATTAGTGAGGACTCTATCGGAGCCCGGACCGAGTTCTTGAAATGATATTCCTCATGGCTTCACGAGAACAATCGGGCCCCGAGCTCTTATTCGAGTAACCGTCCGAGAGACGAGGCCGGGTCCCGTGAAGAGGAATCAGATATGTACCTGATTTGTTCGTACGCGCACGAGCGCTTCTCGGCTCGAGTTGCTGCTCTAGTGGGATTCACATCCACTCACGTCCGAATCGCCACCGTTTGGACTTGGTTCGCAGCTGTTTGTTCTCTTTCGGAGACACTTGTCAGAGAGCATACTGGACAGGCGGATCGCTTGCCCACTGGGCAGTATGGTCCATGCAAAAGCGTAGGAGACCGCTTCCATCTGGTCGACCGCTGAGCTCCGAGACTACGTGAACGCTCGACGGACGAGCAGCAATGCTATACCTTCGAATGTCTGTAGGTCGATTGCCGCAGCGAGCAATGGTGTTAACGCTCCCCGTCAGGACGATGTCGCGTTTTCGGCTGATTTCGTACGTTCGCGTGACTATTTTCGAAGGATCATTTCGCTATCCATAATACGTCACCCCGTAAATTGAGAAAAACTCACGAAGTGCAGCCAGATCGGAGAAAACCCGAGAGGACGACTCCGCGCAACTTCTTCAATTTGCGAAGCTCAACGCCCCGAGAGCAGCTCCGACGCTCGGTCCGACGATCCGATCACCCTTATCGAATCGATCGAAGCCACGTGTCCGCATTGAATCCCGAAAAGTTCCGCCGTCATTCGAGACTCAAGCATATCACGTTTCTCCACTCTCCCGCTTTCCTCCTCCAGCTATCTCGATCTCTCGGAAGAGGGATGTGATCTACTCCCAGCCAGCTCAAATTGGTAGACGATTTCTCTGCTGGGTCTTCGCTGCTTGTACTGGAAGCTGGTGAGCCTACCTGGCCGCGGTGGAAGGTCCGTGGCGATTAAAATTAAGAGCGCTTATAGCGGAAACGTGCCGACTCAGCAGCTGTCGTCTGTGAATGGCTCCAAAGAGACATCGTCTCCCTCGAACCACCGCCGCTCGAGCATAACGGAACACATTTTTCCGTTGTCCTCGTAAAATTCGTCGTCGATTACGGCCACCGAGTGCAATCCATCACTTCCTGTGACGGTTTCTATGAATAGCTTTGCACAAGCGACGCTTCCGAGGACGGTCAGGCGATGTCCGGACGGGAACAACTGTTGCGATGCGTCGTGGATGAGCGGACCTACAAAGATAGACGTTGAGGGGAATCGC